TTATAAAAAAAAATTGTGACTATGAATTTATTTTATTTTTCAACTGCTATTGTAACATATACCTATGAATAGTTCAACTTAAGTTAAAAATTTTTGAAAATTTTATGGTGGTTAKAATATACTTATATAAACATTTGGTGAAAATTTCATGTATCAATGGCCATTTGTTTTAAAGTTACATCAAAAATCAAAATCGATTTTGTCGAARACTGATTGTGCGTAAAATTTCCCGTTTTTCCCTTAACTTTTGGTTTGTTTAACCCGATTATATAGAAAAATATTAAGAATTTTTTATTTTTGAGCCCCAAAGTACCAACTAGATTCACTTTCTAATCGAATAAAGTTAGGTTAGGTTAAAGTCCGGTTTAAGTTTAAGTTTAAGGTTCTAGWACYGGTTAATTTTGGTTAATTCTGATGATGAAATATTTATTATAAAAATAGTATATTTATTCTTGTTTGAATTGTAATTATTTCATGAAAATAGAAGGTATTATGAATAAAAAAATTATTAATATATATAAAAGAACAAATTCACCTGTTTAACTTATTACATTTAATTTATTAACTTTACATATGTTAATATATACACTAGATCTCAAATTCCATATTATAATATTAAAATAATAAAATAAATGTATAGTAATAATGAATATTTATAAACAATTTTTTTAGAAAACAACAATYCAAAATAATTATCAAATTTTGAACTGTTCGGTCAATTTAGAAGATATTATGAAAACTCAAGTAAAATATCACGGATTAGTGGAAAAAACAAGTGAAATATTAGATCACTCTAAATCCAACAAGAATTTAAGTTTCGAAGAACACAATCAGATGAAAAGTGCTGAAAATCAATTTGAACCAAAAACAAGTAAAAAAACACGAATATAAAATATAAAATGAAAAATAGTAGTAACGTTACTTAATTAGATTTAACAGATACGACTTCTAAAACTAAAATAAAAAATAAATTTAAAAATTTAAATACAAAAATGAAAACAGAAGAACCCGAAGAGAAAAAAAAAACTCAAACAACTGTAAGAAACTCAATTAAGTTACATGATAACAATGAAGGAAGACTTCCTGAAAATGAAGTAAGTATCAATATTATCTATTTATGTATTAATACAAATTACTGATAATAATTATACTATTATAGTGCCAAAATATTTTGAAAATTATAGTAACAATGTCTTAAAAATTATATTTGATATGTCTGGTCAAAGATAACGTAATTTGTTTTTGAATTACAACAAAAAAAAATATAAAATTGACTTTGTTGTCAAATGTTGGTGTTTTATAAATATTACAGTTTTGCTGTAATTATTTTTAATTTGTCCCTATTATTTAGAAAACGACTTGTGATTTGTTAATTTTGACCCTCCAAAATGCCAATAAAATATACAATTAGACACATTATACCATTCTCGAAGTTTAARGTCGTAACATTTATTGTTCTATAAAAAGTATCTTTAGAAATTAGAAACACAAACAAAATAAAAATATTGAAAATATCACTCAACTAAGATTCTAAAATGAACTCCTGTGAGTAGAAAACTAAAACAAAATTCTCAATAGGAACTATTAAAGCTAACAACAATTTGAAAATGTCTATTTATTCAACATTCTTAATTTAATGAATTTGCCAAAAATTGCTTAAAAACACGAAATTGTATTTCATGTTCATCGAAATAATTATTTTAGGTACATACAATAAATGTATGTAGTAGAGTAAAAGCTGATAAATATAGTTAATACAGTCAATTCACGATATAACGAAATTCAAGGGACCGAGGAAAAAATTCGTTATATCGCGAGTTGGCTGTATTACCTAGTGTATATACTTAAGATATTTTATTTTGTATTTTAGTTTTCTAACGGTACGACTAACAAAAAAACTAAAAGAGTTTCTTTCATCGGTATTTCAAATAAATCCGTGGGGAAAAAAAAGAAATCTATTTCAAAAAATCACTATCTCAAGAATGTGTCAAATATTATTGAAATAAAAGGTAAGAAAGATATTAAAATTACATTAATTGTATTTAAAAAAAATTTAGTTATGTTATTACTGAAGTTTCATAAGCCTACAACTAGCCAACGTGATTTATTTAGACTCAATTTTGTGTTTTAAGCTTTAATATTACARTAAATTAACTAATATCTAAATTTAAAAGCTATTGGTAAATAAATTATCTATGTTTAAAAACAACAATTCAAAAAAATAATCAAATTTTTAAATGTTTGGTCAATWTAGAAGATATCATGAAAACTCAAGTAAAATATCACGTACCAATGGAAAAAACAAGTAAAACATTAGATCATACTAAACCAAACAAGAATTCGAGTTTCGAAGTACATAACCACATGAAAAGTGCWSAWRAWMAATTTGAACCAAAAACAAGTAAAAAAACACCACATTTAAAATGAAAATTTGTCTTAATCTAGACTACTTGATTAGGTTTAATAGATACGACCACTAAAATTACAATGAAAAATAAATGTGAAAATTTAAACACAAAAATGAAAACAGAAGAACTTGATAAGAAACAAAGAACTGAAACAATTGTAAAACGCTCACTGAAGTTACCAGATACAAATGAAGGGAGGCTTCCTGAAAATGCAGTAAGTATTAATATTATCATCTATTTATTAGTAATAATTAATAATAACTTAAAAATTCTTTATTATATCAATAAGTTAGATGACCTTGTATGTCAGAAACACTTTAATTTAATAAAAAAAAAAAATAATAATAATAATAATAATAATAACTAATAAAAATTAT